GCATGTCCACCGATACAAAAAGTACTTTAACTAATACATTCTTAAAATACAGAAATCTTTATTTGAACAAGCCGCATCAGTATAATTGACTTAATCTCTGAATGTGTTTTTGGGGTTTTTTTTGCATAAATGTTCAAAATGAAAGACTTAAAAGACAAACATTCTTCAGGATTCCCAGGTATGATGAGCCCAATAATACAAACCATAATAACCACATTGAGGTCCTCGGAAAGGAAGCTGGTCCACTGGTGTGTGTGTGTGTGTGTGTGTGTGTGTGTTTTAAATGGAGCAAGTTGTATTAGCAGTAAAAGCAGTCATATTCTGTCCAGATACCCCCCCATTTTCACTACAATCATCGTTTAGCAAACTTAAGACTTCATCTTCCAGCATTACCCTAACAGTGAGTAGGAAGCATTCAAGCTAAAAACATAGTTATATGGCACTACAGAAAACATTAATCGGGGAAGCAGGGGGACAGTGGGAATAACTTACATGACCTTTCGGCCACATCCTAAAGATTTTGAGAGCCATAGATGTAAAGACCATTACAAAAATCTATATGCAGAACTTAAATGATGGCGAAGACTCTTGCATACTGGTTTGTCTTGATCTTGGGAGTCAAATTTAAGACCTGCTTGGCTCTTTGAGGAGGCACATAGTAACACATGCACATACATGCCTGCATTCATTTTATTAAAGTGATCTTCCATGTAGATTGGATCTCTCTCTCTCTCTCTCTGGCACCTTATTATGAGCAGCTTTTCCTTTCCCAGGCAACTCCCAGTCTTATCCTTTCATCTGTGCTGCAAGCCTGATTAATTAAGCGAATCATTTGGCTAATGCAATTAGAACACCCTTCGCCTCACCCTCTGCCAGGACTAAAAGGCAGCAGCATATAAAAGAATCCCCAACTCAAATTCAGCAGTTTCCTTCAGGCTGAGGACATCTAAAAACTTTACATATCCAAGGAAATTGGGGTGGGTTTGGGGGGGGGGGAGAGAGAAACACAACTTTCCAAATGTCAGAGCATCAGGAAAGTTTAAAACAAATATCACCAGAAGATGTGTGCACACTGCCAGAGCTCAAAAGCAAGCTTGTTGTTGGCTTATGAATGCGGGCATTCAGATAGCAATCAGAATCCAAGAACCATTATAGGCTCCTCTGCTCAAATCTCCCAGGGAGCCATGTACAATGCAAGAGAGGCAGTGTCTAGAGAAGCACGCTTAGCCATCATTGCGGCAACACATATCGCAACAGCTCCAGCATGGAACACCCTGAGATTTGCACATTTTGTTTCAAATTCCAAGCCCTTGTAGTTGCAGGGGGGAAATGCTACAAGCACACTTCCTTGGTAGGGTGCCGGATTTTAGCGGAATATACGCAAGAACTACATATCTAAAACCAGGTGAATAGAAATACAAAAGTCAGGGGGTGTTATGGGGTAGTACTGGTGCCACTATCATTGCTGTTAATCATCTGTGGAGCACTTATGGGTTAAGTGAGGACAACAAGAAAAAAATTTAACAACCCCATTTTCTGATTACAGAACTGAGAGGACATGCAGCTGGTCCAGAGGTACTGGATAACTTCAAAGCAGAGGTGAAATGCGAACCTTCATCTCCCAGGTACTAACAAACTACATCCTATTCACAGGATCATATCAGCTTCAGGAATTCTAGTCCAGCTCCCTGTACTGTATCTGAGCCCAACCTGAATAAGAAGAATTCAAAGATGGCTTACAAAACCAAAGTTCACACAAATCTGGTTAGGGTGTCATAATTATTTTTTCCCGCCCATAGAACATGGGGTCTCTCTTTAATGCACAATACCAGCTCCTTGCACACTGAAAGTAATATATAATCTTCCTAGCATGCACAGTTAAGTACAGCTGCTTATTCCAAGGTCATACAGAAGCTCTACCACAAACCCACGAAAATGAAATCTTAGCTGCAAGTGCCCACTTCCTTTTCTCTAATCACAAGAGTGTCGTTCCTGTTTGCTCATACACACAATCTGTCCATTATATAAGTTGGTAAGAAGACAGCTGAGTATGAGTGGGGGGAAATGGAAGAGACAGGATACGCAAACAAGAACAGGCTCCTCAGTGGCTTCTTGGTTTCCAGTTTCCCTCTACCAGAACACCGCCCAGCTTCTTGTGAAACACACCAAGGTTCCCACATGACTCACTCAGCATACAGACAAAGCAGCAAAATGTCTGGCATTCTGGGTCTTTTAAAACAATAATAGCACAGCTACGTCAGAAAGCAAACATGTCAAGACACTAATGGTTTAAGCAAGAGGCCTAGCAAGAGGCAACATTCCTTCAGCTACAGAAGGTTTTCTTTTTTAAGAGAGTGCCCAAGAAACAGTGGGCACGGGCGAGTCAGGTTCACGCAAGAATATACCTCCTCCTGTAACTAATAGCAATTCCACAGCTACAGTGAAGTCCATTTTTCTCTTTTCAAACTTGCTTGAGAGAGAAGCACAATGATTACACACCAGCACCATATACATAGCAGCCCCTCCCAGTTGCGAATTCTGACAGCTAATAAAGTAGATTTGTTCATCTCACTGAGATTCTCACACAATTTTGTGATCTCTTCACTAGTCTCTTAAATAACACAGTTTTCCAAAGCTCCCAGTGCTGGGAACATTTGTTTAAGGGTGCCAATTTTGGTAAAAATCCAGTTTCCCCTTTCCAACAGCCTATTACCCTGTATAACATAACTTTAGCTTTGTTCCACATTAAGGGGATCTAGGTAATTTGTAAGGAGAGCTCATAGTTCTGGAACCTGAGACATTACTTATATCCATATTAATGCAGAAACAGTTGATATTCAAATCAAAACAGTTAATTGCAGAGCACATTTAGAGGCACTCTAAGAGGCCCTTCAAAGATCATCAAAATTACTTCCTGAAAGTCATCAGAAATCAATTGACATATTGTTGGTCTCTCCACAGTAAGCTAAGGTTTATATCACACTGAGATTTGGTGAGGTAGGGAAGAGCCTTTGGAAGGAGGAGAGGGTTTTCACATCTCTGTACCTACTTGCCATTAAAAGGAAGAATAATCTGATTATTTTGTTCTGACCAGGACAATTATGAAAGGCATTTTTGCTGATTTCTGTGAGTAGTTCCACAGCTTAAAGAAACAGACATTCAGTTATCCCAAATATGCCTGAAATCCCAATGGCCATCATATTAACTCCTTTAATTACTTGCACTTTATAGGGAATGAGAGTACAGAATTGCTTCTTTCTTCAAAAGAATTCTATTAAAATGGCTGAGGGATGGTGAGTAATTTGCTTCTGGGACAACACTGATCAAAGGGCGTGTCTGGGAGAGGCATTACGAAACTGCAACATACAACAGGGGAATACATGACACAAACTCCACAAATGCTCTTTAAAATCATAAATGTGAAAAGTACCAAGGAGACTGCCACTCCTTATTCACACAGGAATATTGTTAAGCCACACATTACTTTAAACGGTACACACTTTTCAGCTGGACACAGGCAGGTGGTATAGACAAGCTTCACTCCCTTCACCACCAAACAGAATGCTACCGAACTGTCACATATAGAGACATGGACTATTTACGCCTTGACTTTCAATCCAGTGCAAGACACAAAAGCCCACAATTTTAGGAAAGCAGATTCTTGCAAAATTCCAAGTCAAAGACACAACCCCAACTTTCCTATAAAATTCACGCAACTTTCCACAAACATGATCTTTCCTCATCCCATGTAAACAAGCCTATTTGCTTTCACTCATACTGCCAGCGTTCCTCATTATTCTGGAGACAAAAACCCATGACACTTCCAAGGGCACCAACCCCCAAACAGAAACAAGCACAACTCCAAACTAAAGGATCTACTTGTGATTCCATGTCCCAATTAGTTTAGCCATCTACTGCTTTCCCTTTCCCACCAGACGGAACTCCCTGAATCCACAATCTGTAATGGTTTGCCCTTCTCAACTTCAGGAAACACTTCCCGCAGTGGACATCCATCCGGACCCCACATCCCTAGCCATAACAGAGATCCTCCCTGCCAGCCTTTCTCTCCAGTCCTTGAATCTCTCCCCCACTGACCCATAACCCCAGCCTAGGAGTCAAGGACGATCCCTTCCCCATCCCTCAATATGCTTTGCAGCCGCCATGGGCTCGCTGCTATTTCCAGCTGCCTGTCTCCCCCGATCTGCTCCCGAACTAGTCCACCTCACAACCTTGTGCGCTGCACCCCCCGTGTCCTCACACTGCATGAACCCCCCACCATCCGACCCCCGCCTTGCACCCAACAGCCCCATAACCCCTGGAAGTGCAAAACCATCCAGCACAGCCCCTTTAGACCAACAGGGGGCCATGAAAGCAGCCCCTCCCTGTCCAGCTCGCCCTCTTCTAATCCAAAAAAGGGGGCTCTACAAAAAAAAAGCAACCCCACAGATACAGTCCCCATAACGGTGACCCCCACTCCTCCTCAGAAAGCACACGCCTTAGATGCCCTTAAGGCGCTAAGGTTTTCTTGCCTGTCCCCAGCCCCACAATCCGACCCCCACCCAACCCCCGGGACCTTTTCGCCCACCCACTCCAGGGCACTCCCCGTCCTCGCTAAGACCCTTTTGTGACTCACAGGAGGTTGGCTCCCTTGCTCCCACCCGAAAAAGCACCACAAGGCTTAACCTTTGCCCGCCAGCCTTGCTCCTGGGAGGGAGAAAGAAGTTTCGGGTCATGGGCTCCAATCACCCCCCCCCCGACCCCAAATCCCTCCGCACTGACTCCAATGCAAGTCCCTCCTCGGTTCTTACTTTGCAGTTGTAGTTTCCTCCCTAGCAACTCCCCTCTAACCTGAAGAGGAAACCCACCCGCTTTCCCCGCCAAGGGCCGCCGCCTCCCGCCAGCGTCCCCTCAGGAGCCCACCTAGGGCGGCCCCCCCCCACTTCCCTCCAGGGACCCTCGGCCCACGCGCACCCCCCACCCCCACCCCTCCGACGACCCACCTGCCGGCCCCGTCGCCACCGCCCTGCTCGCCTCTCTCTCCGCTCCACCCCGCGCCGAGTGACTCGCTCCAACGAACAATAGGGGTGAACAGAGACCTTGCCGGAGCCCAGCCCTGATCCCCATGGACACAGGCCACGCCCCCCGAGACCCTCATTGGCCGCGGCGCTGGCGAGGCGGGGGGGAGGAGAGGCCTCCTCTCCCGCCCGCCACGCCCTGGGCTCGGTGTTTTAACGCCTTGATTGGAGGCGAAGGATAGGTGGCGACGGCATGCGGGGGAGGGGGGGGGAAAGGGTGGAGTCTGGAAGGGCGGGTACGCGGAGCCGGGCAGGTGTGGGCGGGGCCAGCGAGAAGGGGGCGGGGTTAAGTAACTGTCGGCGGAGGGGTGGGGATTTTGGAGGCGAAACGGGGGGGGGGCTTCAATTTTCAGCCGTTGGAGGAGTGTTTGTGGGGGCGCTTTAAAAGCCGCATTGTGAGGGGGGGCGTCCAAAGAAATGATAATAAATTGGGAGGGGGTACAACTGGGAGCCTTTCAGGGGTAGTTTGTGTAGAGAAAAAGGGGGAGAGGATTCGTCAAAAAGGTTTTCTGCTGGGAGGGAAAAGTCATGAGAGAAAACTGGGAAGCGGAGGTTTTTTTGGGGGGGGGGTAGGTGGTTTTATGTACAAGAAGAAATGGGTAAGTTGAAGGAAATTATTTTGTGAAGATTGCAGGTGGGGTGGGGGGAGAGATGTGTGGGAAGCTACCTGGGCTGGCAGGGAAGTTTCGAGGGGAAACCTGTGGACTGAGAATTTATGAATAGTTGTAGGATAATTTGGGGAGGCTACTATTGAACAAAGGTGTTTTTCAAATAATAATAATAATAATATGTTTTCAATTATATACATTTCAATCGTTTTACAGTCATTTTAACATTTCAAAACTCCCTCTTTCTGCGGTTCCTTTTATCATTTCCTGCATATTCTAAATTAACTTATTCTTTTATTCATCTACTTCAGTTATTTACTCTTATGAAACTGCAGGTTATTACAATAATCCTGCCAATGTCCGTATCTGTTTACAATTTCTTTCCACATATTCAATAAACCATTTCCATCATTTTATAAAAATGTTTGTTATCTTGATTTCTTATTCGTCCGGTAAGTTTCGCCATTGCTACATAGTTCATAAGTTTTTGTATCCATCCTTCTTTTGTTGGGACTACTCCTTGTTTCCATTTGGGGGCAAATAACATTCTTGCGGCTGTAGTCGCGTACATGAATAAATTTTGATACTGTTTAGGTAGTTCTACCCCTATAATTTCCAAAAAGAAAGCTGCTGGGGTTTTTAAAAAATGTTATTTTAAACATGTTTTTCAATTCATTATATATCATTTCCCAGTAAGCTTTAATCTTACTGCAAGACCACCACATATGATAGAAAGTACCTTCTTTCTCTTTGCATTTCCAACACTTACTCAATTTTGATTTACACATTTTTGCTAGTTTACTCGGTGTGAGATACAGTCTATATAACATTTTCATATAGTTTTCTCTTAAACGATAGCATGCTGTAAATTTTATATCCATATTTCACAATCGTTCCCACATTTCCATATCCATATTATAACGAATATCTATTGCCCAGTGTATCATTGAAGATTTTACTTGCTCATCCTTTGTCTCCCAATCCAAGAATATCTTATACATTTTAGACAGCATTTTAACATTATATTCCAACATTATATTCTTCAGTTGTGATATTTGTTCCCCAAACCCTTGTTTCATATCTTTCTTAAATTCTTCATTCAAATGATGATATTGTATCCATTGTATTCCTGATAAATCCTCAAATTCTTTTAATTTAAACTCTCCCTCTTGTTTTAATAAATTTCTATAAGTTGACCAACCTTCTATCATATTCTTTTTCTTTACCGCTATGGCTTCCAGCGGTGATCGAACAAAGGTTTTCACAGGGAGGAAATGATTTGGAAAGAAAGGGGCTGTTCAGATAGATTTTAGATAGGGAACTTTGGAGGGGTGTGTCATTTTATTATTTCTGATCTGGAATTTAGATCATTTCATTAGGAAGCTGCCAGGTCAGACTTTCTATCTAGCCTAGCATTGTCTATTCTGGTCTCGGTTCTCCAGGGTCACAGATATTTCCCTTCATGGACTTTGCCATCTCAGAGCAAAGTAGGGTTTTGCACCTGACCATCTCCAGTATTGTAGGGGCATCCACAAGATGTCCTTCCTATCCCAGTGTTGTCCCAGACTTTTCTTTCTTTAAAAACATAGGTTTTCCATTGTGGGGAGGTTTGGGCTTCCCAAGGATTTTAAAAACCCTAGAATAGAGATGAAATTGTGTGCATGCCCACATGGGAGACAAAGGGATACAAAATCACATTTTGCACCATTGTGCACCCCCCCTCCCATCTGCTAACTGGAGCTTTTTAACTAGAGATGCAATGAACTGAATGTAGGATCTTCTGCCTGCAAAGCATAGGCAATGCTATGGTCCCTCTTATTTAAGCAAATGGGGATTTCACTGGCATAAAACAGTGAACTGTGCTATGTTCTTTAAATTGTAAATTGGAACCACAATCCACAAAAACCTTTTAAATGTTGATCTTTTAATCCATGGAATTACAGTGCTTTACAGTTTCACTTTGAGGCTGACCACATACATTCTTAACCCTTGCTACTTAAAAGCTAACAGGGAGTGGCTAGATGGGTAAAGGAAGCGATATTAAATACCTCCCTTTTTGAGGGCACATACAATCTGAATGAAGGAGTAGTAAAATTGGTTTTGTTTTTCTAAAAAACAACAACAGCGCAAGCACTTCTGGATCTCTCCACTTTGGATAACTATCAGCCAGTTTCCATTCCCCCATTTGAGGCAAAGTTTCTGAGTATGTGTTGGCTACCCAGCTCCAGGTGTAGACAAATGATGCAGATAATCTTAACTCATTCTAGCCAGAGTTCTGACCTGATTTGGGAAACTGAAAATGCCATTCTTGATGACTGGGACACAATGGCAGCAAACTTCTTAGTTCTGCTGGGCCTCTCAATTGCATTTGGTGCCATTGACCAATGATATATCCTTCTGGACCACCTTTTTGGATTGAGGCTATGGCACTGTATTTTGCTGGGTCTGTTCTGGTCTGAAAGTTACGTAGGTTCCAGAAGGTTGTGTTGGGGTGCTGTTTGAGAGAGCACTTTGAGGGAGCAAGATTTCTCAAGGGTCCATGATGCCCCAAGAGCCCTTTACAGTTACATTAGTAGTCTTCATGTTTTTAAGGACTCGGAGCTATCTTTAGTTCAGAGATGTGTTTGGGGATCAGGTCAATTTTTAATATATATTATTGTGACACACCTATGTTGTAGATATGTTGGACTGCAACTCCCATTATCCCTAACCACTGTCCATGCTGGCTGGGGTTGATGGACAGTGGAGTCCAACAGCATCTGGACAGGTTGTTTCCCACTCTAGTTCTAAATGAAATCACCAAGAGATATCATCTATAATGATCTGACAGCAGTATGATACCCAAACCCAGTGCTTTAAGGGGGGAAATGTGACGGTACTCACCATGACGTTGTTACAGTAAATGTCACACTTTTAACATTGGGGAAAATCGGTGCCAGTACTGCATACTCTGGAGCACCCTCAGAAAAAAAGTGCTGCCCAAATCTACTGTCTGAACACTGGTTTGGATGGCTTGGGTGTGGAACTTGTTTCAAACAAAACAAGATGCTTTTGTTCAATAAGAACTCTGATACTGAGAAGGTTATTTCCCCTGATCTGGATGGAATAGCACCCCTTCTGAAGGATCAGGTGTGCAGTTTGGGACCCTCCTGGACCTGGCTTTCCTAGCCAGGAATGCTTTTGCCCAACTATGCCTGGTGCATGAACTGCAGCTCCTCATGAAGAAGGCAGATCTGACCACTGTCACATACGAATGTTTTGATTGCATCCAGGTTAGACTATTACAAGACTGCGTCAGAGCCCAGTTATTTTGAGCATCTATAATTTGCTTGCTGGTAATTAAAATTTGTGCTTCCGATTATATTCTGAGTTCAATTCAAAGTGCTGGTTGTGATCTTTAAAGCTCTAAATGGAATGGCTTGGGTTCAGATACCTAAAAGACAACTTGCCTATCTGTTAAATTATTCGAGTGACAGCTTTGTTCTGAATTCTGCTTTTTTCTGAGGTCCTGCTTGTCAGCATGTGGGATAGGTGTTTCACCATAGTAGTAGCCAAGCGCTGGAGTATACTTCCTTGATATCTGTTTGGCTCTTTCACTGTCCCCCATCCTGATGGGCTGTAAAGACTTGTGTTTTCCTACAGCTTTTAATGAAAACTGAGATGTTTGGTGTTGGCTATATATTTAGTGTTGGCTATATAATGTTGGTTTTTTGATTGAGATTTGAGCTGTTATTTTATTATGCTTACTGTACACAACTTTGGTGACCTTCTGTCCCAAAATAGTAAAGAAATTAACTTTACTTACATACCAACTACTGATTTAGTTGGATTGTGCTGCAAATAAAAGTCAATATTATTTTAACAAGCTCTCTTCAGGTATAAATTCAATTTTGGGATAATATCAGATAAACCCTGCAAAAAGGCAGGGTTCTTACCAACTTCATCATGAGCATAATTTCTAATGTATATGACCAATTTTTTTCCTGTGCCTTAAGTTCATTTCATCATATAAATCCTCATATACATGGTCAAATACCACCAGTGGAATTAGAAAGTCAATAAACATCCATTTTTTTATATTCACAGTAAAACGTAGTACTTCCAGAATAGTAAATCAGGAGAACTGCAATTCCAGCTGACAGGGTTGATATACCAACCAGTGATAATGAACCTTACAGAAGTTAACACCTGCGGTGGTAAAACATTGAATCCCTTGCTATGTAATATAATGCTCTCCCATGCACCACAATAATTATAACTGCTGCTAATAGCTACTGTAGTGGTTGATCATATATATACACCTGACAACACCTACCATCACCAATAGCGTAACATCTCCAAAGGCCTTTTCTTACTTTCTTCAAAACATGAACAGAGAGAAGGAACTGTGCAACGAAGAGTGACAAAGACAAAATTGAAAACAAAATTGCCTTTTTTTA